CTCGATCCCAGGACCCTGGGATCATGACCTGAGCTGAAGGCAGACGCTTAACGACTGAGCCACCCAGGCGCCCGTGGGCAAGTATGTTCTATGCTTCAGTTTCTCCATCTGTGAAATGGAGGTAGTCCTCCTCATCTACTTACAGGGATTCTATAGGAATGGAATGAGCTAATGTACCTCCAAAGCACCTGACAAGTACTCAGATGTCCAGTGCTAACACCCTGCATGGGTCAACACTTATGCTGAAAGACTACGAATAAGCCGAACAGCCATCTTCCAGCGATGATGGAAGATTTTCTTTGTTGGAGAGCTTGTATGGGTAACATAATTTCTAAGGAACATTCTGGAGCTGGGAATCTCACAGAACAGGAATTCAGGGCAGGTGCCGTGTGTGTGTAGGGAACACAAAAGCCCCGTACTTGTAGAGGACTTCATTTTCTCCCAAGTTTATGTCATGGCTGACTCTGTGGACGATACAGCACATTTCATTAGAATATTTTCCAGCTTCTTTTCAGTGCTTCTGAATAGATTAGCTTTTTTCATTTTTATACTTCAGGTTAATTTGTTAGGTTCGGAAAGTTGTCATTTTCTTCTTTTGGTTCACTTTTACCTCACTAAAATCTCAGTCTATACTTTATTTGCAATGAGATAAGACACAAACCTTTTGTGAACTTTCTCTGTATTCCAGAATGTGTTCAGTATATTTATGGTAGTGATTTTACTAAAACCCAGAGCATCCGATTTCTAGTATTTGTGAAGAATCGTTTTTTAAAATTCATTTTCGGTAGAAAATGTGGTTCCCTGAAGCTTGAATCAGTTCTGCCACTTCTTACCCAAGTCTTTTGGCTGGTTCCTTACGTTCCTTGAACCCATTTCCTCATCTGTGAAATGGAATTACTGAAAGTACCACCTTCATTGGCTGTTCTGAGGATTAAGTGAACCAATATGTGGAATATGTTTAGCACAGAGCCTGGCATAGACAAGTTCCTTAGGAAGTGTTGGTTTTCCTCCTCCTCAGGAGTATTGCAGCCTTTCACTGATCCGTATGTCTGTGTATATCATCTGTTGGTACTAATTTACTTCCCGAAGGACTGACCTGAATAACACAGAGGGTACAAGCTTAAAGCTTAAAGCTCTCTCACACTAGTGAGTGGATCCAAACAGAATTATTGGTGCTCAGTACGGTGAAGGTGTGGGCAGAGGGCAGGGAAGCACTGGTCTGGGTCAGAACTCAGACTGGCTCCAGAATGGTCTGACTAAAGTCTTGAACTTCAAAAGTGGGACTGGGTTACCCATCCCAGGAGGTGTTTTAAAAGGGAAGAGAATTTACACACTGTAGAGATGAATTGGGGACCTACCCCTTCCCTGTCACAGTGGTGTTTCTGCCTTTCCTCCACCCTCCTCTTTGTACCCCTTCCCGCCCTCTCCCCCTTTCTCTAAGGAAATTGATGCAGATACCTGCTGTACCTGCTCTGCCCAAGGTGCACCGTGCTCCTTCCAGTGCCCCCACTTGGGGGAGTGGCGCTACACTAACAGGATGGGCCCAGCTGAGCCCTCAGGGAAGACTTGGCGAGGCTGACCCACTGAGCCATGACTTACTGCCTGGAGGTGTAAAGGGGCTTCTGTCAGGATTGCTGACAATTTAGGGCATTCTAATGTTTTTTTAAATCTGAAGATCTCTTTTGTTTTTAAATGTCAGCTTCTGTTCCTTTAGATTTTTCAGTAAGTATAGAGGGATACTTGAGGTGCTTGATTTAAATGTATGAGATTCTTATTAAGAACTGTTTTCAGGGCTCAGTTGGTTAGGCGACTGCCTTTGGCTCGGGTCATGATCCTGGAGTCCGGGGATCGAGTCCCGCATCGGGCTCCCTGCTCAACCGGGGGTCTGCTTCTCCCTCTGACCCTCTTCCCTCTCTTGCTATCTGTCTCTCATTCTCTCTCTCTCAAATAAATAAATAAAATCTTAAAAAAAACCCAAAAAACAACTTTTCATTTGTTTACATCAGCAGCAACACCTGGAGATCTTATCTGATGTCTGAAATGTCCCAGTTGTTCCAGAATTGGATTGTGGTTAATTGACCATAATAACAGCTAGTTTCCTACAGCTAAAAATATTGAGAAAATGCCAGTAAAATATAACTTTGTCAGCAGTGGTTGGATATGTAAATACCAAGGTTTAGACCTAGAAATATATTTATAGGCATACAATTGCAGAAATGTATGAAAGAACTAATTTTTAAAGATTTTATTTATTTGAGGGAGAGAGAGCACGAGCTGGGTGGGGGGACAAAGAGGGAGAAGCAGGAGCCCGACGTGGAGCCCCATCCCAGGACCCTGGGATCATGACCTGAGCCGAAGGCAGACACTCAACCAACTGAGCCACCCAGGTGCCCCTATGAAAGAACTATTTGAAACAGCAATGAACAACAAACAAAGAATGTTTGTTTGTTGTGCGTTGTAACTTGCAACTTCCAATGAATTGCCATTGTGTGTGGTATTTTAATTGTTTTTATTTTTTCTTCTCATTTTCAGCTTATGGAAAAGTATTTCTGGTTCGTAAAATCAGCGGTCATGACGCTGGCAAGCTGTACGCCATGAAAGTCTTGAAAAAGGCCACAATAGTGCAAAAGGCCAAAACCACAGAGCACACAAGGACGGAGCGGCAAGTCCTGGAGCACATCAGGCAGTCACCGTTCTTGGTGACCTTGCACTATGCTTTCCAGACAGAAACCAAACTTCATCTCATTTTAGGTAAGTGTCCATCGTTGGTAGACTTCTAACAAGAACACTTTCTCTTGGGTCTTGAGTTGCAATGAACTCAAAGGGCAGCATACTGCAGACTTAGAAGAAATGAAATGTTTTGACCTTCATTCTTCTCTTTGTGGTGGCAATTCCTGGCACACCCTGAATTGCTCTGGATTTGGGACCTCCCAACCTGAAGGAATTTATATTCTTCTATTCCACATTCCTTTATTAATCTTAAGAAATACTTGGGTCATTAGGAGTGTCTGCTTCCCTGGGCAGTGTGCTTCCACTTAAATGTGAGCAGCTGAATGGGGAAGTGGGCCACAGTTTCTGCTTTAGGAGTTCTCAGGAACATCCAGGTTTGGGTGGACAAAGGGATATTTATGGAAATCACTAACTGGCAAAAATAAAAAAGAAAGTCTTCTATTCTTGGAGATGCTTTGCTTTTCTGGTGATAAGCATGCACATAAAGGAGATGCCCACCAGTCAGTCAACAGATCACTCCCATTTCTACCCATAGGCACTTTCTGAATCCTTTCCTTTCCCAAATAGAGTGGGACCATCATATATGAACTTTGAAAACGTCCTCTGTTACGTGTTGTCCGATTGCTTTGCAGAAGAGTTGCACCATTTTCTGTTCCTACTAATAGTAAATGGTAGTACTGCTAATATTGCAGTCTGTCATCATTGACTGTTTCATTTGTTACAGTTTTAGTCCCATTCTTGTGATAATTTGCATTTACCTATTACCATCTTCTGGTTATCGAACCGTTCTGAGGATTAGATGAGCTAGAATTTCACACAGTGCTCTGTAGGCATTAGCTATTTCTTGAGCGCCTATGGTACGCCAGCATATGCTAAGTATTATCCCTGGTGATCACTAACCCTTACAGCAGTGCTGGTCCAGTCCCCCATCAGTGATGTTGAAGGTTCTAGAAGCTGTATTTCCTAAAGTTACATGGCGTGTGTAAACTTGAGAATGCAGGTTGGAACTTAGGTCTGACTCACTTCAAACCTGCCAAACAGTGCTGCCTATATTCTTTGATTACTGGTAGTACAAACAGGTTCTTAAATATATGGGGTAATTTGATGAGTGCATTTTGGAAATTATACTTTTGTTAATGATGCCTAAAATTGCATTCACTTTTTGAGTCATGAAGTTACACTTCAGGCTCAGTTTGCAGTGCTTAGCATCAACTAACAATCCTAAATCTCTTATATAGAGAGGCCACACCCTCCCCTGCCCTGTCACAGTCCCCATTAATGTCATCGTCTGCCTGATGTTCCTACAAGTCAGTATCATTTGGCTCTTCTTTCTGCCTCCTATGTGTATCTGCTCAGCTATGTTATTTACTCATTCTTTTTTTTTTTTTTTAAAGATTTTATTTATTTATTTGAGACAGAGAGACTGAGAGAGAGAGAGCATGAGAGGGGGGAGGGTCAGGAGGGTCAGAGG